GAGACGACGAGGCTCCAGTTACAGCAGTGCAAGTAAACAAACAATATATATAAGAAGAGTAAGAAAATAAACATACCCTTTAGGACCAGGGATAAAGGGATCAATAACAATTTAAAATTTACAGTTTGATGATTTAAAGTCTCACACACAACCCATTGAAAGGGGAGGGGGGCCAAATAGAGCACATTTCATTCATAATGTTGTAAATCCAAGTCCATTATGTATTCTTGATTTGAATCCTGGGTTGTCTCAGAAATCTCAGAAATGCACCCTAGACAAAGTGAATCTGTGAACTAAGGTGTAGGTGTGTTAGATCATGTTGTGGTGATCCTTGGGTTGAGGGATAGTTGTTCATACTGGAGTGCAAAATTAAAACCACTGGAAGATGGAAAAGAAAAGTTCAAAGCCATCAAGTCCTCAGTTTAGAAAAGAGAGAAAAGAAGAGGAGGAGAAACGAGCAAAAGATACAGGTAAGCAGATGTGTCATTGGATAATGGCAGGTCATCCTGAAACAATCAGAATCAGAATACTTTATTATGTGGGTGATCGTGGCTCAAGAGTTTGGAGTTCGCCTTGTAATCGGTTGCTGGTTCGAGCCCCGGCTTGGACAGTCTTGGTCGTTGTGTCCTTGGGCAAGACACTTCACCTGTTGTCTACTGGTGGTGGTCAGACCACCACCAGTAGGTGGGCCTCTGTCAGTGCGCCCCAGGGCAGCTGTGGCTACAATGTAGCTTGCCATCACCAGTGCATGAATGGGTTGATGCCTGAATGTGTAAAGCGCTTTGGGGTCCTTAGGGACTAGTAAAGCGCTATACAAATACAGGCCATTTATTAATCCCTAATCCCGTTACAGTTGCTCCAAGAAGAAATGGTAAAAGTAGGAACAGTAACAGACTAAAACAATACCTTATGTTACAGAGGGAGTGTTCGCCCAGGGCGCCAAACAGGCTAGGACCGCCACTGGATGCGACTGTTAATTTTTTTTTTTTAACTGCACTTCAATATTATATTTATATACAATAACAACTGATGTTCCTGTTGATTGATTATGCAAGAACTAGCAAGCTTGCATGTAATGTAAATGTAAAAAGAGGCAAAGTGTGGGCAAAGACAGAATCCGTTTAAATTGGGTGTGGATTTGAAACATTGGTTGAATTCCATTCCAGGCCATTAGGGGGCCACCTAGGCTGAAAATGTTCATCTCTGCTTAGCGCCACAAATTTGCAATGACATTGCAGTAGGAAAACTCCCTAGAGTGGCCCCATTTAAAGGGCTACACAGAGAAAACTAGGTGATTCAGAATGTAATGTAACAGATGTAATAAGCATGTTGTGTGTGTATATATTAAGCTTTTATTACTCCATGTTGATTTTATTTTAAAGTTTTTAACATAATTTGTCTTCTGAATAAGTGATGGTGATGTTGAGGAGTACTGTCGTTAAAGGAGAGTGTCCTTGTAGTTTACAGCTAAATGAAGTACTTGACAGAAATTCTGTAACTGTATACGCTGTACCGCAGGTCAGCTCAGTGAAGTACCACACCAAAGCCTTCTCCACCTTCCATCAAATCAACGCCTTTGAGGAGGATGGATTCTTGATGCTCGATATGTGTTGCTCCGACGACGGCCAAGCCATCAACAACTACCTCATCCAGAACTTGCGTAAATCAGGAGACGCGCTGGATGAGGTCAGTATAATTGCATGAACACATTGTTACAAAATAAATGTAGCAAGAAAAACAGATTTTTTTTTTTTTTTTCACTGTACTTAAGTTTTGACATAATAAATATTTATAACCGGGGAAGACAATATTGGCTTTGCTAATTTACTAAATAATTTAGTGAGAAAGCTATTCAGTGTTAGCTTTATGGATTTCAGTCTGTTCAGATTTGAATTAACCAAATATCTAAAATGTGCAAATATTGTCCCTCTCAGGTGTACAACACCTTGTGCAGGGTTTTCCCTCGGCGTTTTGTTCTGCCACTGCATGTGACCAATGAAACCCCAAAAGACCAGAACCTGAACACTCGACCCTGCAGCAATGCATCGTGTGTCAAAATCGGTGACGACAAGGTGAGTTGACTTCTTGCTCATGCCTTCATTTACAGTTCACCTGTAGCACACATGCTGGAGGCAGTAACCAGAAATGAGTTGTCTTGACAACTCATACAGTGTTGTACAAGTCAACAAGCAGGCAGTGAAAATATTAAGCTTCTTATTTTGAAATTAATCTAAGTGGCAGAAGTAAAGCGTTCCCTTGAGTAGAAATGTTAACGCCACACTACGGTATGAACAGATGCAGAAAATTAAGTTAACAAAATGAGTACTAGGTTTTTGGGAGGGGGTTGAAACGCATAAAAAAGGCTTTTCATAAAATTAGAAAAGCCTGCTTAAAAGTAACCGCTACATTTGTAAAACTACTGATTAGTGAATTTGGGATATTTAGACTGATGGGTAACATCAGCACAAAATCTATTCTGTTATCTTAAGAGATGTTTCTGTAGTGATTTTTATCATTTTTGCAGTTTGTGTAGTTTTTGACCTGTGTGTATGGAAGTTTACATAATTTCTAGTATGTTAGAACAAATGTATGGCAATCAGAGTTCACATAACTAGGTTGCAGAAACATGAGTCCAGTTAAAGGTGAAGCTCATGGTCACAGAGCTCGCACGCTCGACTGACCTTAGGTGGTAGTTCATCCTCTTTTTCAATAGGTGTTCTGCCAGCACGAGGATCTCCACGGAGAAGACCTCCATGAGTACGGTGGCCTGGAGTTCCCGCAGATCAACTACGCCAGATGTAACACACATCCGTACCGTTATTTCTACGGCTGTGGCTTCAGACATCTGGTGGGAGACTCTCTGCTCAAGATGGACCTGAAGGACAAGACATTCAAGGTGTGTATGATACTGTGCAAAGGGCTCCACCTCATTTAACCATGAGAGACGATGAGAGAGCGTTAGTGAATTTGATCACATTCACTGCTGTTATACTGTGTAAATTATTAGTTAACATAATTTAAATGGTATATTAGTTTATTGCAGCTTCTTTCTGGTTAATATCAACTGTCTTCCTACACTGCTGCGGACAGTTGTCTATACATTCAACCACATCTGGGGTGTCACAGTAAAAGCTCATGATCTTTCAGAGTTAAAGTTTTATGTATTGTTACTTAGTAAAAAATATTTAAAACTAGGCAAAACGATGCCTCAGATGAACTACATGTGAAATATTAAACCATTACTCTTGTTAAAAGTAAGGCCAAAAATGTAGAAGTAACATTGGGAAAAATTAACTACATCCTGACTGCTTCCATAGCAACTGTGATTATCAGTGTGAGCAATTTGCTGCTCTGGGAGCATTCAGGTGTGTGTGTGTGTGTGTGTGTGTGTGTGTGTGTGTGTGTGTGTGTGTGTGTGTGTGTGTGTGTGCCAGACTGGAACTGAGCCAGTAGTTGAAGCAAAATTAAGATGGAGAACAAGAGCAACTTTAAAATGTGGAGTTAAATTGAAAAACACTGACACTTGTGAAAATGATCATCCACAGGTCTGGTACCAGAAGGGTTTCTACCCCTCAGAGCCTGTGTTTGTGCCGTCACCTGATGCTGTGGAGGAAGATGATGGTGTCATCCTCTCGGTGGTTCTCACCCCGTCACAGGTAAGCAAATACATCTACCTAATGTGCTGATCATTGTGGAGCTGCATGTGTTTTATAGTTTACCTTTTTTCTTGTATTTGACTCTATAAAAAAAAAAGAAATGTCCGTTCAAACCTTGTTGTGTCTCATGACGTTATCAGAGGTTTATGATTTCCTGAATTTGAGGTACCAGCATGTCTGCAAGTCCGCCTAAGCTTGATTCCTTTCTGCTTCAAATTCTTTAATCAGCTGGACACGATCTATCATAAATATTCATGTGGGTGACGAGCAGAGTCATAAATATTCATTGCTGAATTTACGCGAGTGAATTTTTGGAATTAAAAACAGAACTTTCTAAAGCCTTCAAGATTAATGGCAGAAAGTGCACTTGCTGGCTACATTAATGGTGCCAGTAAAAGATTTTCTGAGTAATGTAAGATTTTTTTTTTCTTTCCCAAAAATGGTGTTCTACTACATCCCAGTGTCCGTCTTCCTGACAGCACATTGGGCAGCCTGAATCAAAACTGAGCATTGTGCTATTATGTCCATCTCCCCTATAGCAAATGTCAATTGTTCATTTGCCCGTCTGTTTATTTTAAAATCCTAATCAGTTTTAATTACCCCTGAAACACTGGATGAGGACCCTTTTATTATTCTTTTGTACACACAATGCGTTCTGGTCCTTGAATTTAATCAAAGCTGCTATTCTAAAGACATGCACACCTCTCAAGCATACCTCCAACCTAAGTGAAGTCTTTCACTATGTGGTGGTGTGTAGAGAAGTGTGATTTGTTTTGTGTGTGTTAACGCCATCAATCGTTTCTCTCCAGGATAAAGGGACCTTCCTCCTGATTTTGGATGCCAAGACATTTGAAGAGCTAGGAAGAGCCTATGTGCCTGTTAACATGGCTTATGGCTTCCACGGTACCTTCAGTGCCTCTGCATAAACTTCTTGTTTTTTTAGACTCCCCATGATTCATGGGCAATGAATACAACGCATCAATAAGCATTAGCCAGTTATATATCAGATGGTACTGAGTTGCTGCTGCTTTTTATGCTTAACATATATACTGTCTACAGATATTCACTACAGGTGAGGATCACCAGACATTATGTTATCACCATATTTCACTGACAATACAAGCAGTGTGCTGAGTATTACAATAACCGGATTTATCATATCCAGTAAGATTATGTTATCTCTCTTTAGTAGTTTGCTGCAAATAGACGTTGGAGGTTGCTGTCCCATTTTTACTCTAATGACTGAGCTGTTAGCTTGTTCTGAATTAGGAGGTAGGTAGCTTTGTCAAGTGAAGTGTGATCAGTGTTGGATGGATTTTCGACTGGTAGGACTTGTAGGGTACAGTTGAAAGTAAATCTGTGGTCACCCAAGTGCCAAAATGTTTTTTTTTAAAGAAATTTATTCCAAAGATTTTTACAAATCTGACTTTTGTACTGTATATTTTTTTTAAATATAATTTTTTAATTAAAGTTTCAACATTAACACTTTTCATAGGTGAAGTGTCTGGATTCTTTTCACACACTGAATCAGTCAAAACACATGGTTGAGAATAATGTACATAAGTACGATTCCTCACATCAAATATTCTTTTACAGTCTTTTACTGGCAAGTGGCACATTTAAGGCCCCAGGTTTTATAAAGTCAACATGTGTTGCTATTTATAACAATTTGTATAGCAATCAAATTTGCATCCTTGACATTAATATAGATATTAATCGTTAATTTGTTATTACCTTTGTTCAGATTACTTGTTTCACAGTATACATTAAGCCCATAAATAGACTAAGTGGCACACAAATCACTTAAACTAAACAGACCCTATTTTACATAACAATGGGGTCTTTTTAATTGAGAATTGAAAATTGTATTAAAACTAAGTGGCATTTCTTTACCATACAGTTTTTAATTCTGTTAACTTCTGCTCCACTGTAGGGAAAAACATAACTCTTAATCCACAATTTGACAGCTTTTAATTTCCAAATTAGTCTTTTGTGTTACAATAAAACATGCTACATGTTTAAACATTTAAAAGACACATCGAGGTCTCCAGCTCCTCAAAAGTAAGGATTGTCTTTAAATAAATGAATAAAACACAATTCCATTAGTGATGGTATAAACCTAAAAAATTATTTACAAGGGCTCAACTAGAAGGCTAAAAAAAAAAAAATTGGTGCTAATAAAATAATTTTGTCACAGTTAAATAACACATTTCTGCATTAAGTGCCAACTCTGAGTATGTAAATCTTATGTAAGCACATGTATTTTACATGTAAGTGATAACTGTGTGTGCCATTTGTACTTCCTCCACTATTCTAATGCATAATACACATTTATAGTGGTCTAAATTTGAAACGCATGCTTTATTAAAGTCTGGGTGCGCTTCACCCAGATTTCAGAAGTATACAGAATATCATTCACAGACGTATTTCTGGGGTAAATGTAATAGGCTAGGAAATGGTTTTACTGTGTAGAGAATTTATTAGAGGTCCTCTCTAAAATATGACTCAATAGAGGCTATTTTTCAAAAACCGATTAAACTCTCTGCACTTACACTAGAAGATGAATTTGAAAACCCATGAATGAAAAAGCTCTACACAGTTGTAACTGAGGTGTGGCTTTTTGGAGGGTTTTTTTGGTTTCTTTGCTGTTTATAAGAGATCCACACATCATCCACTAGAGGTCAGCATGTGATGACATTTACCTCCCTTCAGTCACGTTCTGGATCTGCAGAGTTGGAACAACGACTCAGTACCTGACCAGGATTTATTTAAATTAATTTATAAATTAAGAAAAAAAGTTGTATACCACTTTGTGTCGTGTGTGTTTTGTAACCATGTTCGCTTTCTGTATTGTAAACCTCGTGAACTGCAAGGCTGTTTTCAGCTTTGCGATTGTGAATCGTAACGGACCCATTTTCTGTCTCATACAACAGTCTGAACAAAGGGGTGAGGCAGGGGCAACGTCTCTGAAGGAGGTGGGCTCAACATGGCCACACGGGCTATAAGAGGGATCAAACCTGTGACCCTGTGACAGTGGGACAATCTGTAACTGCCAGCCCACCCTGCCACTTCAAAAACACACTGCAAACAGTGGAGGAGCCCGGCATTGAACTTCACAGGGGTTATTTCCAAATCTGTGACCTTAACAACTGTATTTATAGGACACTTGGAAAAGAGTGCCTCTTTGAGGGGAAAAAAAAAAAGATAAGATAAAAAAAAAAAAAAGGGTAGAACTTTTTTTTAAAGAGGGGAAAAAAGGGATTTCAAACAGACTATTATCGAAACTGTGGATTAAAGCAGAGTAACTCAAGCTGCACTTTTCAGTCTGCGTGTGTGGCCAGAGAACAGATGCGCATTTTTATAGAGGATTGTACAAAGGGGAAAAGGAAAAGAAAAAAACTGTTCCCAACAGCCGGTTAAAGCAACAGGACCCAAAACTACACCTCCAAATGTAGAAGTTTGGGGGGCGGGGTTCTCTAACTAGCTTTTAAAGTTTTGGGATGCTTTTGTAGGACAGAACATGCATTTTTAATATCTGCAGGAGGGCTGCAGATGGCACTTTGTTACAACAATGGTGATTCAAAAAAAACTTTAACAACAACGCTGCGGCTGATCAAACCTTCAATCAGTGCTCATCACTGGTGTGTTGTTTTGGTATTGTTTTATCTAAATAGAAAAGTTAGTGACTAGAATAACGACGGCACTAAATAAATTAGAATTATGTGATTTATTTTTACATCCACCCTGTTTAGTCAGAACAGCTCAGGAATCAACTGTTTCAGATTTCTTTTCTGCAGGAAAAACGTGCTGACAGATACAGCTGCTGTCTTTCCTGTAGCAAATCCTCATATTAATCAGTTCAGTTAATCAACTTTCTCCTCAAAGTATCCTGCTGTCTTTTCAACACACAGCAGACACTCGCAATAGAAATGTATACCTAAAGATTCTCGCTGAACTCATCTCAGTCTTTTACAGCACAAACATTAAGCAGACAGCAAGTAACATGAACGACTGTGCTCATATGCACTACCCACTGTTTGATTTGCTGCTACAAAGCAGCGGGTTCTGTGGAAGCAGAATAATGTCTATTGAAGCAGCCGGTAGAGTCTCGGGTCACGAATTGTGATTTTCCTGGCAGGAAAGCGGTTTGTGATCAGTCGTGGCATAAAAAGCACAACATTTATTTTTAGCTTGTTTTTTGATGGTGATATGAATAACTCTAAAAAGCTGCTGCCTTTTGTATAAAATCACAAATGTATGATGCCAGACACCCCTGAGAACAGTGCTGCTGCAGTCTTCTCAGGAGGGTTACTATGTTATAGAGAAGCTGGATTTTAGTCTGGATATTGTTGTATTATATACAGCAGACTACAGAATGACTACAGAGTGTAATAATGTAAATATAGTTTAACTGCATGTATTACCATTTTGTTTTTTGGGCTTTAAAAAAAATTTACTTTGACTAGAAGATGAGCCCTTAATGTGCATTATTGCAATACATTGGTTGTGATAAATTTTGCAGGTTATGCAGGCAACATGAGTTTCTAGTTTAAGCTCCACCTGACCAACAAAGTCCAATATTCTTTTTTTTTTTAATCTTTGGTCTACTCTTCACGTCTTTGTGTTTCTATCATTTAGTCTTCAGTAAGTACTCGTGCTTTGCGGTGAGTTTTTTGTCCATCAATGGCTAAAAGCAGCATCTGGAATCAATGCAGAAAGCAGTGAGGTTGAACTGAAAGAGCAAAGTTGCCATTTGGGAAACCAAAACAATGTGCTGAAAGAGACTAAAAATCCCAGAGTTCAGGAGAACTGACAGACATCACACCAACAATCCTCATTGATCTTTAAGCTGTTAAATACATAGAAAGTCACTATGCAGGATCGTTGTAACTGTTTGCTTTGTACCAACCACAAACTCACTCACAAAATACATATATATAAATATGTTGTGATTTACCATAAATATTTCACTCATAAAAATTAACCATGGCAACATCATAGAGAAAAAGAGCGTCTCCCAGTGTGTTTTGATACGTTTTCCCTACACATGAAAATTCAAATTTGGCACTTTCGCCCAACCACACGATTGTTTTCATGTGTTTTGATGGAGCTCGGCCCAGTCGGACATTGGGTAAAGATGGATGCTACATTAGCTCAACAAACACGCCCAGCAAACATTTTGATAGTGAATGTCACTGTTCTCTTAGTCGAAATATAGAAATGAAAGTGGTAAATGGGCTGTTTTGTTATAAAATGCTTTTCTACTCTATGGGAGCCCTCGGAGAGCCTCATTCATACAAAAACATATGTACAAATATTTCTCTACACCTAAGTGCTTTCAATCTTCCATTTACACACATTCATACTCTGATGAATGCATCAGAAAGCAACCTGGGGTTCAGTATCTTGCCCAAGGATACTCTGGCATGCAGACTGGAGCAGGAAGGGATTGAACCACCAAACGTCCTTAGGGGATGACTGACTCTACCCCCTGAGCTTAAGCCATCCTTGAGCTTAATGGACTTTCAATCAAGTTTACAAGAATTGTAATTGTTTCATCAAATGTGAAAAGATAAAATTCTCACTTGAGCGAAGAGCAAATGTGTGCAAAGCAAAACCATCGCGATGGAGATTTAAACCGATGACCTCTCACTTCTTAGTCAACTTAGCGAGCCAACGCACACCACACCACAGATTTACAATGTTGACGTGGAGCAGAGAGATTGCTCAAGCAGCCAATGAAACAGAATGTCCATGTAAATATATGTAAATGCAAAAACACATGAGGGTCTGACTGGGATGTTACTGTACATGAAAACAACATCAGCGTCTGTCAGTCTGTTTACGCGCAATAAATAAAACTAAGGAGGGATGTCAGTGAAGCGGCGGGGACACGCCCACACAGCTCTGAGCAGGGGTCTAATCAGTGAAAGTGAAAACACCTGTGTAACTGTACCGTGTTCACGCTTTTAAATCTACATAAACCTGCAATGATCTAAAGGGGACTAATTTCTGGTGTGCAAAAGGAGGCTGCAGGAGGCTATTTAACAGAAGGAGTAGGAACTACATGTGATGCTTAAAAAAAACAGACTACAATTACTGCTTTGTGGTTGCGCACCTTTGTAAACCCATCAAGCTGCAGACTCATAATATCGTAGGAGTCGGAAAGGTGGGCACAAAGATTACTGTAACCAATTTAATATCTAAAATATGGCCCCAATCTGCCTTTTTATGTCGATATCACATCGTATCAATCGCATCGTTTGTGTGACTTTTTTTCTTTTCTTTTCTTTTGAGTCATGAGACCACAGTGACCTCGGAGCACAATTCTAATAAGTTCATTCTTGAGTCAAAGCGAGAGTTTGTGCCAAATTTGAAAAAAATTCCCTGTTAAAGACAAGCTATGTTCAGGAGACCGGGTCAGACGTAAGGACACAGAAAACGCACAAAACATAATAAATATGGCGTTACTTGTGCAT